TGATCCATCCTGAGAACATACAAATGTCATAAAAAGGATGAGTCTCCCGATGTAACTCATAAGGGTACCAAATGACTGAATCATATGTCAGCGCATCCAAGTGTACCTTGACCTCTAAGAGGGTGAAACCCTCCCTTAGTGACTCTCACTTTGCAGCACGCGATCTGTCTTCCATGTTTGAAGGCACCATACGCCTTCTTCCCAAAGTAGGGAAGTGCTCATATATCCAACTCTACAAAATAGAAAATTACAAATTATTTCATATTCCACATCGAAACAATTCAACCAAAATAAAGTGTAAACTAAATTTGTACCTATAACAAAGTCAAATAACCTGTCATCTGCTTGGTCGAAGCCAAGCTGGCATCTCCTAACTTCTCATACATATATGCTAGTGTAGCAACGTCCCAAGCATATCGAACATATGCATGTACGTCTCCAAAGAGAAGAAGGTAAGACACGCGAATGAATGTGGCAGTCTTATCAACAAATATACTGCATCCAACTAGATGCAACAAAAATCTCAGGGCAACATACTCCCACTACTGCTGCTCATAGTGCTCAACATAGATGTCTCAAAGCCAACTCAATTTGACTTTCGCACCGTGAGCTGCATGTAACTCATCACCAACTCTCCCGCCATCCACATCTAAAAGTTCCACAATGGCGCGTCGACTTTCTTCAAAATCTACTTCCTCTATATTACATAATTGGCCTAAAACTTGAAGGTGCAATAAGGATGACACATCATCTAAGTCACAGACATCTCACCCACGGGGAGATGAAAATTGCTGGTCTCAAAATGAAATCTCTCTACAAATGCTAACAATAGACCCCTATCGACGTAGTCATATGAGATGCCACCAGAGACATCAAACCGGAACCATAAACGATGTCTCTAATGCCCTCGTGACAAGATCCTAATCTGTTTAACTTCTTCCCGTGGGAGATCAACTACACTATCCTAAAAAATAATATTTAATATAAAATTATTTCAACTAAACAATAATCATTAAAATAAAGTTTGGCAGTTACTCGAGCCTACCATGTCACATAAGCAATATGGTGAATGTAATGTGTCAATACTTAAGCATCTACTAGACCTTCAGGAAGTCCACCTTCAGGAACATCCTGATGCTCCTCCTCCTACTCAATATCATGCTCCTCAAGTGCATGATCCTCAACTGCATCATCGTGAAATCTCACATCTTCATGGTCCTCAACGTGAACATCAGACTCAACTACTCCACGTCTTCTACGAGCAAAAGCAGTAGGTCTCCTTCTCTCACCCTGTGAGGAACTCTCTCCGCGATGTGAAGATGAACCTCCTTAAGTACGAGCCATATCTATTTTCTTATATTAAAAACATTACAAAAAAATAACCAATTCAAATAATTATAGAATTAAAAAAATGAATTGCAATATTTATATAAATAAATATTTATATAAATAACACTCTTTGTTATGCAACACCGCGACTCCTATGTTGGTGATGCATTTTGATTTCTAACACCGTGGCTCCCTCACTTAACTCTCCAATTTTATTTCTAACACCACCTAGTGCCAAGTCCCATAATCTTGCCTCTCTTTCTTTGTTTTCTTCTCCCATAATCAAACTTACGTACACCATTTCCCCAAAATACATGTTAACCCTCCACAACATCAAATGATTCTAACCAATACATGCCTTAGATAATCTTCTTAGGTTTCAAAACGCTCCACCACCCTCACTCTTCTTTATAACAATGACCAATCAATTCCACTTCTCTTCTCATTTTATGAAACCACTCCCTTCGCTTTAGGTACATTCCAAATACTCTTTTCTTTCTCCTAGCTTCCTTCTCTTTTCCTCACCCTAAAACCAACTACTTATACCCTTTTTCATATATCTATTGTACTATAATCCCCTATGTACATCAAAACCCAACCCTCGATCACTTATCTTACATCACAAGACCCCACTCATCCACCATAAGTTCTAAAAAGAACACAAATGTCGAAAACAAAGAACTTGCCTCTATGTAGAGAATCCTTGTACTACCATTTAGAAACATTAAATTCTTCTTTGCCAACCTCTTCGTGGGACCCATTCTATTTAAACATGCAATGAAAACACAACCTTTCTCATGCAAACCTGGAACGTGAGAAAACATGTAACTCTATGCGACATATACTGCTTCTCCATACTAATATATACTAATATGATGTAGAATTTAGGTTGGAAAGAGAAAGAGGAAGAAATATGAGAAAGATCGAAGAACAAAATAGACAGGATACAGAGAAGAGCACAAATAAAGGTCAAAGACGAATCTGCATTTGGTCGAATATGCAAGCGCGAAGGGGACTGAATCGGATCTGCATATCCGATTCAGACTACATCGGATGTCCATATTCGATATAGGCTGAATCAGATATGTAGATCTGATTCATCCCCCTTCGCCTTTGCTATTCGACCAAACGCAGATCATACCACCGTAACAACTTCTAGTCCTCTACACTACTATATCTACAACAAAGTATCAAAATAAATATGGCAGAATCCACCAATCTTTGGCCACCAACGAGAAGAAGCAAGAAGTTGTGTTGCTATGCTGTTTGTGTGCCTTGGGAGCAGTGGGAGAAGACAAACCAGTGGAAGTAGTGGTGGTGTGGTGCCTGTGTGTGCCTGAAGTGTGCGTCGAAGAAGTGAAAGAAGACGAATGATGTTGCGTGTGTCACGAGAGTGAAATGTAAAGCTGTCAAAACGGGCCACCCGACCCGATCCACCACGGGTTGGTTAATTAGTGAGTCAACCCAACCCGGCTTATTTATTAGCGAGCCAGAAAAATTCGAACCCGACTCGACCCACCATGGGTTGGTGGGTAAACGGGTTGGCTCACTAGCTCACTTAATTACAATTTTTTTTAAATAAGGTTGAATTACAAACTTTCTATAATACAAATCTAAACAAATTTCATTCCTAACATGGGTGTTTAATTAATTTTGAAAATAAGGAACTTAAATAACTTTTTCAAGCAAAAACAAAATAATAAATATTTTTTTATAAAATTAAAATTAAATTTTAATAAAATAATATTATGTAGGTGGGTTGGTGGGGCAACCCGACCCACCACGGGTTCAACCCACATGAACCGGGTTTAAACGAGCCGGGTTGAAATTTGACCCGCATAAAAAAGTACAATTTTTTCTAACCCAACCCGGCTCAAACTCATGGTGGGTCAGGTTGGCTCGCGGGTTGTGACCCATTTTGATAGCTCTAGTGAAATGAGATACGAAACAAAGATGTAACTGTGCTTGGAAAATGAAATGCGAAAGAGAGGGTTTTTTTCAAAAATGAGAAAGAGTGAAAGTGAGACAATGATATTTGAAAGCAACGTGAAGAATAAAAACTACAGAGAATCTTTGACCACTTAAGTGATTTAAATATTAATACTGTTTTAAGTAGGGGTAAAGTTGACATTCTGAAAATACTTAGAGGTGCAATATGAAATGCTTGGAGGTGCGGGGTGAAACCTTCTTTCTCTATGAGACTTTTTGGTCCTGTGAACTTTTCTGCCCCCAACTCACGTGAGTCAGGATCAAACCATGTAAGAGGGACCAAATTGATGGGTCTATGATATATGACTACTATGTGGAAAATTTCATATTTTAGCTATATTTTTAGAGTTAAAAAAGTTTGTATTGATGACAAATCCATTCAAAAGTTAAATGATGGTTGCACAATGGTAAGTACTTGATTCTTTCATATATGTAGTTTTGTATCTTTCTTATTCATATTCAATTTGTTGTAAATAGTTACATGATATGTGTGTGAAGCATGTATATTATGAGAATGAACAATTTATTAAAATAAAACATTTACTCAATGATGATTCCTGTGTTTTCATTGCAGAGGTATTCTTTCATAGTTCAAAACTATAGATCATATGAATCATTAAAGTTTGTATAGTCTAATTTCATGAATTTCTCTTACAAAATTTGTTAACTAAGTTTTCAAATGAATTCAAGCCAAACTGTTGACTTGTATTGACATTGTTTTAAGCAATTATATGACAGTCACTCCACTTAAAAGAGAACGTGCAACTATTTTCTATCCAACTTTTAAGGACACTTGAAAAATATATTAAAATTGAGAAATGAGTTGAGTAAGTTTTAAGTATGTGTCTGTATTGTTGTATTTTGTAACATGTAAGGATAATGATTTATAATCAGTTCTAAATGTAAATCTTTAATGTGCTTTTTATTGTTGAATTTTATGTAAGGACACAAATATCTCATTAGTTTTACATGTAACAGTTTAATATGTTAATGTTATATTCGGTGACTACAATGTTTAGATATAAGTTCTTTTATTAATTCTAATACTTTGTAGTTTAACTTTTTTAACTTTATATTGAACACTCATGATCTATCTGAAATAAAAAGTCTCAACTATAGAGTGAGTACCAATTTTCTAAAAGAAAATGTAACTTATCTAAGACTTATAAGGCTAGTTAATTACTAACAAAATAATTCATTAAAACTATTAAGAATCTCAGGAGAAAATTACAAAAAATATCCACTTATGATACTTGAAATCAGTTAAGGAAAATACAAACTCTAAAGGGTTAAATAATACCAGTTAAGGTTAAAAAATAACAATACAATTTACTGGGGCTTATAAAATGCACCTGTGAATAAACTCATTCAGTTTTGAATGCTCAAGATGTAAACCTTAAAAATCATAATAAAATACTATCATTTACCAAACGCCATCATCCAATGATTTAAGTGTCTAACAACACTCAAAGAACACAACACCACATTTGCTTACATTTAATACCATCAAGACAAATTTGAAATTTTAAAATTTATAGGGTGCAAATGGAAATTATGGAATGTAGAAAAACTCCTTTACTCGGGTGTTTCAGGCCCAGATATTTGGACCCAAGGAGACCGAATCAATAATGAAAGGGCCCGACCCACTCTTAAAAACCCTTTGTATGGCGAATGAATTCAATGTTTCTCTTTCTTCTGGGTTTATAGAAGCATCAGTGGCTGTTCTTCCTTGAAATCTTGTTGTCAATGAGGTGAGTCAAATGCACTTATATACTCGTTCGATTTAAGGTCGCAATAATCATAACAATAATAGCGCTTTTATTTCTTCCTTGTTGTGCTGTGCAGTTTCATTTTCCAACCACTCTATATTTATTGATTTTTGTGTGGAAGCAGCTCCAATTTTGTGACTGACGGGTAAGTTACACTGATCATTGTTATGTTCTGTTTGCGTAATTTGTAATTCCTCCTTTTCTGTTTGTTTTTATCCCAATTTTGTAGAATACAGACCTTCTTGAACAAGGGCTGTGTTCCACAAATCAAACAATGGGGAATTGTCAAAAATCACATTATTTCTCTGCATTGAGGAAAAACAAGCAATTTATAGTTATTGGATTATGATCTCCTGTTTGAATGCCCCATTCACCAGTCCTATTTAGCTCTCGCATTGTTAGATTAAAACCTGGAAATCCTTCAAGTCCATCCCTATATCCCCTTTGTCTATCCATAAATGTTTTCATCGTAAGTGGTACTGATTAATTGAACCCCAGTTCACTGTGACTTAGAAAAAAAAATGAAGAAGGGTGAGCTAATTAGCATTAAACTCAAGGAACTCAGAAGAAGCAAGCTGCATAAGTATCCTCCCCTTGAGCATATTGATTATTGAAAAATGAGAATGACTGTCCTGGCTTTCATCATGATTTCTTCTCTAGAAATGCATCTATCAATCCCGGCATATATTTCATCTGGGTATCTAAGTGATAGAAATGAATGTTTTGAATTCTTATGTTTTGTTAGTTTACAAGAAAATAGTACTTGGTTCTTTAAACTAACCGAAACATATCCACTAAGTGAAAATGGCATAACGAAAAGGTGAAATCTCTGTTGTACTCAGCTAAATTAAAAAATATTTGGACGGTTTTTGTCGTTATGATGAAATGCAGTTCCCTAATGACTTATTTAGTTATAGGCTATACTGCTACTGACATTTTAATGTGATGTACTGATTTGGATTGGATCTTTATGAAAAAGAAAAGGCACATTGACTAATATTTACCACAATGCTTTATAAAACAGATAATTCACTGTGAAACCTGTCATCCCATCATTATTGTGGTTCATCTTGCAGCTATTTTTTCTGGCTTTCAGTCAGTCGGAGAACAGGAAAAGCGCATTCTTGTTGTATAGTTTGTACACAATCTGTAAGTCACTTAGTTCAAGCTGTCTTTCGATCCCAGTAGTGCAAAGCAAGAAAATATAGCCAACAAACTTATTGCTATCAGGGATAGTGTGGAAATTCAGAAAAGGTGCAGCCTCCCCAAGGTTACCTATTTAGTTTTGGCAGTTGGCAGTTTGAAAATACTTAGAAATGTCTTTGGCTGCTCCGAGTTCCCTTTTGAAGGTGGAGGAAATACAAGGAAGAGGGAGGGGAATGGTTGCATCTCAGCCTCTTAAAGCTGGTCAAATTGTCCTGAAAGACTCCCCCATTCTGCTGTATTCAGCTTTGCCCTTGATCAGACAGTCTTTGTCAGCGTCATCCTCTGCCTCAACTTCATGTTTCTGTGATCACTGCTTCAGAACCTTGCCTCCATTTTTACTGGGAGATTCTTCGTCATCCACAGTTTTGTGCCCCAATTGTCGCTACCATCGTTTCTGCAGCTCAAGTTGTCTTTCAAAGGCATCGAACTCCTCCCATTCTTCTTGGGTATGTCAAGCGTTATCTAGTCTCAGATCCAATTCTCTACTGCTTGAACAGCCGCTTGAGCGCCAAGTCCAGGCTAATTTTCTCATAGCTGCCTACAATCTTGCCAATATCTCCCCTTCAGACTTCCAAATTTTGCTTTCTCTCCAGGGTTCTCCTGATGATACCACCATTGCTGCATCCAAGTTCCTACACCCCCTTATTTCATCTCTCTGCTCACTATCTATCATTAGTCCCCAGAATGGATTTTCTTTAGAACTCACCTCTTTACTTCTTGTCAAGGACAAGCTCAATGCCTTTGGAATAATGCAGCCCTTCTCCGCAGATGACGACCAGAGGTCTGTCAGAGCCTATGGTATTTACCCCTATGCTTCCTTTTTTAACCATGACTGCCTTCCCAATGCCTGCAGATTTGATTATGTGGACATCAATCCACATGAAGACAGCCATAATACTGACTTTATTATTAGGATGATTCATGATGTTCCCCAAGGTAGGGAGATTTGTTTGAGTTATTTCCCTGTGAATGAAAACTATTCTAGTAGGCAAAAGAGACTGATTGACGACTATGGCTTCTCCTGTAATTGTGATCGATGTAATGTGGAGTCAAATTGGTCAGATAATGATAGTGTTGAAGATAATGCTGAGGATGAGGAGGAGGTTATGGATGAGGACCAATCTGAAACTATGGAAGCGTCAGACACTGATAAACATGCTCTTGAAGATAATAATGATTTCCCACATGCATATTTCTTTTTAAAATACATGTGTGATAGAACGAATTGCTGGGGAACATTAGCTCCATTACCTCCGGAGGGTGATACTCCATCTAATTTCATGGAATGCAATGTCTGTGGAAAATTGAAGAGTGACGATACCTTTGATGTAGATGAAGGTCTTATGGAGGACTAAGCATCTAGCATGCTACTTGAGTAAGTAATCTGCTTTCCTCTAAATGTTTTTATTATCAGTATTATAGATTTTTTTTGGCACCATTGGATTTTAACTTCTATGATTCTTTGCATGTGCTGATTACTTTCGGTGATCACAATTTTCACACATACATATTTACACACATGTTCATTAATTTCAGTGATCACCATTTTCACTCTATTACAGGCGCAGACACTCACATATTGGCCTACCCATAAACTTGTCACTGAGTAACGCTGTTTTTTTCTTTTTGTAGAAAACATTGATTGTGTTTTTACAATTGAAGAACTTGTTTTAGAAGCCTGAAGCCCGTTCTTAAAGTCTGGATCTTTTTTCATGGGCCTTTTAAGATGATTGTAGTAGAAGTAATTGGTTATCAATGAAAAAGAATGAGTAGTCTTTCTGGTCATATGGATAGTCAGAGTCAAACTGATTTTTGTTGTTATTATTCATTTCTGGTTTGACCTAGTATGTTTTCGTACTCTTGTAGATGTTTAGATGATGTTGAATTACCGCCAAACAATCATTCTTGAGTAAGGATGACAATGGGACGGGACAAAGACCGTGACGGAGACCAGTTTTGCTATACCATAGTTATCCTTAATGAAAAAATCCATTCTTATCTCCATCCAAACATCCAAACCCAATAATATGAAATTTTTGTCTTATTTTCATACTCACCAAGGTAACGGAAATACCCTTGTATCCATGTCCGTACATGTACTTTCTTTATTGCTTAATAACTTATTATCATTCCTTCAATGTCAAATGTTTAGAAATAAATTATAATTATAATTTTATATATTTAAAATTATAATACCAAATAAAATTTTATGAAAATAAACATTTATTAAATTTGAATATTTGTTTTTTTTGTAATCTTTTAAAAGTATTTTTAAATTTTATCAATATTGTTTCATTAATTTTTAAAATTATAATACCAAATAAAATTTTATGAAAATAAACATTTATTAAATTTGTAAAAATTAACGAAACAATATTGATAAAATTAAAAAATACTCTTAAAAGATTACAAAAACAAAACAAATATTCAAATTTAAAAATGTTTTAAATGTCATTTTCTCTCATTCTTTAAATTCTAATAAAATTTCTTTTTTATACATTAATAAAAATTGTAATAAATGAAATAAGAACAAAAGTTAAACTAATAATAATTGAAATTTTATATAAATATTTTATCATTTGACTTTTAATATATGTTGGATGCTGATAAGAAAAATTTATAACAATAATATTAAATTATTATTTTATAGTAAACAATTTTTTTATATAATTTTAGTAATAGAATAATATTCAAAAGAAATAAAAATAAAGTGTGTGTTAGAAACAATTTGATATACTATTGAATGAAATTGTATAAAAAGAAAATAATTGTATAATTTAAGAGAATGAAGAAAAGAAAATAATTTAGAGATCTAAAAAAACCTTTTTGTATGTGAAACTAGTGGAATTGCTCCATACTGCGGATAAACATTTAAAAACATACTTCTAACTTGAATTGATCACTCTAAACTCAAATTGATCTTTCTAGACTACCTAAACTCACTTCTATAACTTACTACACCAATTTCAACAAACTAAAGGCCTACATAAGTTCTAGATGACTCAAACACAAACCTTAAACTCCCCAATTCAATTCCTTACATCAAAATTTCACTAACCAAACCTTCAATTTGCACTCAAAACCACTCAAAAACTAACCATTGACCACCCTTTTTGGTTCTAGATCAGTTTTCATCCAAAACATACTTCTAACAAATTTCAATTGGCCCCATAACTAGGGATGACAATTTTACCCGCGGGTAAAATCCGTGGCGGGTAGTAACTATCTGCGGATATTTACTACCCGCGGGTAACAGGTAGCGGGTATTTTAATACCCACTTCTAAACGGGTCGGGTACGGGTAGTATACTACCCGCCCCGCGGGTACCCGTTACCCGCAAAAAATTAAAAATAAATAATTTATATATTTTTTAATTAAATTTAATTAAAAATAAAATAAAATTATATTTTATTAGTTTAAATTTAATTAAAATTAAATTTTAATTTACATTTAATTTAATTTATATTATATATATATATATATATATATATATATATATATATATATATATATATATATATATATATATATATATATATATATATATATATTTGTATTTTTATTTAAATTTTATTTTTAAAATGTATTAAATATATATTTTTAATTTTTTGCGGGTATCCGCGGGTGCCCGCGGGTTTTAAAATACCCGCGGGTATTTTTTAAACAGGAACTCGGCTGGTAGCGGGTCGGATAGCGGGTACGATTTTATCCGGCGAGTCGGGTTGCGGGTAGGCACTACCCGTGCCCGACCCGACCCGTTGCCATCCCTACCAATAACATACATGGAAAAATTGTTTCCTCACACTAGTACATATCTCACACTTTCACCTATTAAAGCCCTCCCTTCTTAGCCTTAAAACCCTGTTATTTGATCATTCACCACTCTAAACAACTTAGGAGTCAAATAGAATCATCCAAACAACTTTATAACATGTAATTCATAACAACAACGACTTAACAAATTTAACCACAGTTAGAACGAATCATCAAATTAGCTAAACATACTTAATTACCTAAATTAGTATAACAAGATTCTTGAAATTCTAAACTCAATCAATTTAATTGTTGGAAGTCTTACATTGATTAGAGATAAGTCCAATTTATAATGTATAAGTGGGTGCAAACCTCACCTTAAAAGCCAGTTTTGTGGGGTTGAGTTAGGCTTAAAATCCACTTCTTAACATTAACAAACATACAAGCATCAAACTCATTTACACAGCATCAATTAAAAGTAGACACCTAGCTTTCCTTACCTTAGAAAGAACTCCCAGCCAATGTTTCCATCCAAAGGAACTCCAGAAAAAGCCTATAACTCACCAATTGGTGATCGAAATCAAACCTTAGTGTTGGAACAATCGGTACTGATATTGCGCAGCGAAAATAATAAAACTCAGAGTACGATACGGATTGTTAAAAATATATATCATAATTTAGGGTAGAATTTTATATTTTTATTATGACAAGAATACAATCCATATATACAAGGTTAGAGGCTATTTTAGGAAGCATAATAATAACTCCTAGATAACCAGATCTTATGATTAAGGGATATCCCTATTATTCACAATAATTATAATCTATTAAATAAGGAAAAAATATAACTAATAAAAAACAATGATTCTGACATAAAATAGATTCTAACACCCCCCTTAAGTTGATGAATAAGTATTTTTCATTTCCAGCTTGGAAACAATACTCTCAAAGTTGTTGTTGTTTAACCCCTTCGTTAGAATATCTGCAAGGTTGTCTTGTGAAGAGACATATGGAGTGCAAGAATTAGAGGCCAAGAATAAGGAGAAATTTGGTGGGGTTTTGGATGCGACAATGTTTCTCATTTCTCTATTGTTTGTAGCGTTTGCTGCTTTAGGTTACTTTCCTTTTGGTGAAGAATTCTAAGTACTATTTGTGGTTGAGGTGGTTGTTGGTGTTGGGGTGAGTTTGGTGGCAATTTTTGTGCCTAACTTTGCATATTTTTTATCACTTATTGGTAATAGCATCTTTGTTATTCTTAGCTTTGTGTTGCCAGCTACGTTTCAGTATTTGATTTTCAAAGAAGAGATGGATTGGAGGTGTATGGTTTGTGATGAGACAATTGTGGTTTTTGGGTTGGTTATTGTAGTTACAAGAACCTAGTCTTCGTTATCACAACAATTAAGAGTAAGAAGTTTAATTTAGTACATATAGATCACAAAGACTTCCGATTTTTAGAGTATAAAATGTAAAACTGATGAAATCAGACCTGTAAATGAAGCTCCAACCGCGACCGACGGCTGGCGGCGAGGCCCATGGCTTGACTGGATGAAGAACGCGCGTTGGTTAATGGTCTTCAATTCAATTTTTCCATATCATAATTCTTTAATTTAAATAAAAATTCCACCTAATCAAACGATGCACATCAGCATAAACACGTCAGTTCCTTTTAACGCTGTCTGTGACAATTTAACGGACAAGGCAAAATTGGCTCAATTTTACAAATATTTGGACCCAATTGAGAGCGTTTCAAATACGAGGATCCACTTGAGATTCCCCAACAAACTTGAGGACCATCCGAGGGTTTAAACCTTTTCTAAACAATAAAACCTAAGTCCTCCGCCACTACTACAGTTCTTTTATTTATTATATATTTAATGAAATACATCAAAATTAATGACAATACAAGTATTTATGTTTTACAATATTTATTTTTATGAACAATATATCTATAAAAATTTTATTTATTTAAAGTTATATAATTTTGTAGACTTATTTGAATTTGTTAAAGTTATACTTTAGTTGCAGCAGTTACAACAATTTATTCTTTCATTTAATTTCTGTTTATTTTTTTAAAGATGTTTGACTATTTCAAACAGTTTAGTCAGTTTCTGATTTCTTAGGAAGTTATTAAACATGGAATCGTGTCCCATGTATATCTATTTCCTGCTTTGTGCAATTTTGTGCAGTTTGAATCTTTTTTAAGTATTCATCAATTCAATAAAAGTGTAGCTTTTACTAAAAAAACCTCCAACAAATTAGTATCAAAGCTCTCTTCTTGAGGGACATTTGAAAAATCATTTTTCATCTCTATGGATTCAGAAACACCATAGACGACACTGACACCACCTGTTGTTTACGGTGAAGGCTATCATGTTTGGGCAGTAAGGATGGAGGCTCATCTTGAGGAAAATGAACTCTGGGAAGTTGTGTAGGAGGACTATGAATTTCTTCAATTACCTACAAACCAAACAATGACCCAAATCAAAACTCATAAGGAGGGAAAATCAAGAAAATCGAAGGCACGAGCTTCATTATTTGCTGTCGTCTCTCTTGAAATCTTTCTCAGAATCATGATGATAAAATCAGCTTTTGAAGTCTGTAATTTCTTAAAAAAGGAGTATGAAGGCGATGAAAGGATTAAAGGAATGAAAATTGTAAATCTTATTAGGGAATTTGAATTCCAAAAGATGGATGAATCTGAGATAGTGAAGGAGTACTTTGACAAATTATTCAAAATCGCAAACAAAGTAAGATTACTTGGTTCTGAATTTCCTGATTCCAGATTAGTACAAAAAATTCTTGTGACTATTCCTGAAAGGTTTGAAGCTACCTTTACTTCCCTGGAAAACTCTAGAAATCTGTCCAATATTAGTTTGGCATAATTGTTGAATGCATTATAGGCACAAGAACAAAGAAGGCTTATGAGGTCTGAAGGACCTATTGAAGGAGCACTGGTTGCGAAGGCTAGCTCTAGTTATGGGCGAAAAGACAAAAAAATTGAAATTTACAGGGAAAAATCTAATTTCTCTCCTTGTAAACATTGTGGAAGGAAAAATCATCCATCTTCAAAGTGTTGGAGAAAACTAGAGTA